ATAGCCTAAGGGGAAATTAGAGAATAACAGGTATGGCTATATTTTAACACTCTTATTTAGTCAAGCCACCATGATAAGTTTATCCAGTAGTTGTTTATTAAGTACCTACTGTCTGCCAAGCATGATTTTTAATTATGCTTAGTCTGATCTTAGAAATCTGTAAGAATTATACTAGACAAACTCAGCTACCCTAGTAGTTTAGATTCAGATTTTTTTAAAAATGGGGGAGGGGGACCTGCAGATGGCATAATGGTTACATCGCTGGATTCCTACATAGTCATCTGAGGTTCAAGTCCCGGACCTGGTGGCTTAAAACTCATGCTGGACGCGTGTGCGTGCGTGCCCAAGATCCCGAGAGGAGACTGGATGAGAAGGGATTGTGGGGTGGCCTATCCCTCCTGGGAGGTGATTTCTCGCTTCCTGTCTATCTATCTCTCCAGTCTCTCCAGCGAGCACACATGCACCTGTTTTTTTTTTTTTTTTCTTTTTAGAGAGGAATTTTTGCTATGGGGCGTATACACTCACTGGAGAGACAGAGAGAGACAGAAAGTGAGAAACCACCCCCTGGAGGGATGGCCATGCTGCAATCACTTCTCCTCGTCTCCTCTTGGGATTTTGGGCATGCATGTACACATGCCCAGCATGAGTTTTAAGCCTCTGGGTCCAGGATTCAAACTGCAGTTGACTACATGGGAGTCCAGTGACATAGCCATTATGCCATCTGCTGCCCCCCCCCAATGTTTTTTTGAATAATGATGGTGATGATTTACTGTTCACTGTAGAGGTTTCCATCTTCACTGAAGCCCCAAATCTCTGAGAGTATTATCATTCCCATTTTGCGGATAAGGGTATTAAAGCTCAGCAGCATTAAGAAAGACATCTCATGTCACGCTGCAGGGACTTTTCTATGTGAGCTCCTGAAGAGAATATTAATAGTTTTACTGTTACTTTACAGTTATCAGTATGGTCTCACTTACATTACCTTACCTGATTTTTCAAACACAATGGTAGTTACCATACACACTTTTCAGAAAGTACTTTTATTACTTATATACTTCATATATGCCAGGACTTCCAGATACCTTATCAGGTATGGCCTGGTACATGTAATGCACACAAAACCCTATAATAACTACCATTATTCCAGTTTCATAGATGAGCCATTGAGATTCCCAAGGTTTAGATGAGTCTGTCTGCCCCGCCAGTACGCATGTCCACTTTGCCACATTCACTTTACTATGTTATGTTATCTCATTTTCCAGATGAGGAAACTGAGCTTCAGAGAGCTAACCCATCCAACTGTGGTCACACTTGTAAATAGCACATCAGGACTCCAACTCAGATCCTCTCACTAGCAAGCTCATGGGTTTCTTATTGTACTAGACTGCCTCTCCTCCCAAGAAGAACTGAATGGCTATAGTTTATACCCAAGTTAAGACCTCTAATTCCTTTGTGAAATACTTAAGCTGAGTTTAGTCACTCTGTATTTCTTTGTATTTTTTCTCATTTGGAGGCAGGGATCCCTGTACTGCTAGTAACGATATGTTACAATAGAGGAATGAACCAACAGGAATGAACCAACTCCTTGCTTAAGCAGTCATAATGGTGAGGTTCAATTGGAGCTCAGATCCAAAACTGAGTCCTTTGTGCCCAACTCATTTAGCTATGTTATTCTTGTTCTTTTTGTCGATTGAAAATATTGCTTGAGAGAAGGCTGTGCCTTTTACGGGATGACTTTCCTGTTTTATAAGGAATAAATCTTTTTCCATCTGAAGATCATTTGACATTCCTCAGAATAGTGAATTATATTAAT